AACAATTGTCTTGTAAATGGGATTTTTAAAGCATTTTGAATGTAAAAATAAAGAAAAAAGTGTGCAAGGCAATAAGAAACACTACTTTCCAAAAAAATAAGTGAAGTTTTGTTGAAATTGATTGAAAAATGTAGGAAATCCGATCTCCTATATAAATGAACATACACACACACACACACACACACAAACGACCTGAGTTTTATAATAAGTATAACTCGATATGAGTTGTCCCCCTTTCATTCTGCCAACAGAATCGTGTTTTAAAATTGATTTCGTGCAAAAACAATTGTATTTTTTCCAATTTTGGTGCTGTCAGAACCACCATAAGGTAATTTTACACAGTCCTGTGAAGTTTTGTTGAAATCGGTTGAAAAATGTAGGAAATCCATCCAATATATAAACGTACACACACACACACACACACACACACACACACACACACACACAATCTGCGTTTTATAATAAGTAAGATTAAGAACTAAATGATATATTTAGAATATTTGAAAGAGGTGTTTGAACACCTCACGGCAGTAATACTGCACAATGCTCCATGGAACTAACAGAGGGTTAAGTGTCACTTAAAGAGAGTTCTAAATCAATTTTCCTGTCTCCAAACATGTGCTCTTCATATAATTCTTGGTCATTATTACCGTCATTCTAACACTTGTTGTCATGAAACTTAAGTCAATGGTACTTATCTCTTCACGCAACTAACCTTCTTCACACTTTTTTCTTGATTATAATTGACATGAAACGTCTCCAATTTTTCTTGTAGGTGTTCTCCAGTTTTGTGGATACAGAATGAAGGGCCCTTAAAATGTTGCTGTCTCATTTATTGAGGTATATTTTTACAACTTTTATTATCCGAATGTTCAAGCTACGTTTCAATTTTATGGCCACTTCTGAACTGAAAATTGATTGTAATAATAATAGACAAAGTCAACAACAATAATTGGTCTTGCAAATATTTGACAGTTATTTTCTATTTCTTATGTAAATATTAGTATTAACTTTTAATCCTTTCAATCCAATCAAGGCAATAAAGACACTAAGTCACAAGAGGTTATTGACAGGAATGACTCTCAATCCCGGGCATTGCTTTGTGACCCTCGCTATCTGTTGTATGCTCAGTCCTTCTCCAGGTGATATATGTTACATTTTCAAACCGAACACTTTATTTAATCCATGTGGGTAGACTGTTCTAATTCCACATGCCATGCCTCTTCTGGATATCTCAGTTATAGTTATTTCCCTCTAGTAACTCAACTCTCAATTTTTTTTTTTTTTTATCTCTGCTGTGGCCAAGTATTGAATGCACAGCCCTTTTTGAATTACTTCAACCAACGCTTTTATTCATTGGGGCATGTGTCCTAGGGGACATCAGTGAGTGAATTTTGGGGGGAGTCGTGAGTATAGCAATAAAAATGAGGACAACAGTCCGAACAATGTAAACAGTTACAATACCTCATTTCAGAAATATAGACAGGTTCTGAAGAAGGCTAGACTATACAACAGCCGAAACATTATGAATATGGCAATAAAGATGAATACAATAGTCCGGACAAAGTAAATAGTTACAATACCTCATCTCAGAAATATAGACAAATCCTGAGGAGACCAATGGCCGAAATTTTGTGAATATGGCAATAAAGATGAGTGAAACAGTCTGAATAATGTAAATAGTTACGATACCTCATCTCAGAAATATGGATAGATCCTGAAGAAGGCCACAGCATACAACGGCTGAAACATTGTGAATATGGCAATAAAGATGAGTGCAACAGTCCAAATAATGTAAATAGTTACAATACCTAATATCAGAAATATAGATGGATCCTGAAGAAGGCTGGAGCATACAACGGCCGAAATGTCATGAATATGGTAATAAAGATGAGTACAACAGTCTAAACTATGTAAATAGTTACGATACCTCATCTCAGAAATATGGATAGATCCTGAAGAAGGCCAGAGCATACAACAGCTGAAACATTGTGAATATGGCAATAAAGATGAGTGCAACAGTCTGAAAAATGTAAATAGTTACAATATCTAATATCAGAAATATAGATAGATCCTGAATAAGGCCGGAGCATACAATGGCCGAAATGTCATGAATATGGCAATAAAGATGAGTACAACAGTCCAAACAATGTAAATAGTTGCGATACCTCATCTCAGAAATATGGACAGATAAAACTTTCAGTATCTGAGAAAATTTCTTTTATATTTTTCTCTGTATGTTTTGGTCATTCTTTACCTAAAAGCCATCAAAATAAGTCATTGTTCAGAAAGTTTTAAGGACAACAGAACTTTTCCTTGATGTTGCTTTTATAATAATAATAATAATAATAATAATAATAATAATTGCCTCTCATTTGCATTGGTGCCTAGGTATTTACCTTTGACCCTCCTCTGAGTGTGGATGTGACACAAGGTCAGTTTGTTTTAATTTGGGGAATCCAAGTGTATTCACTCAGGCCACTGGTCATTTTGTAGTCTCAGCAGAGAGCCACTACAACACATAGAAGTTAAAGACCCTGCTTTACAACTCTTGTAGAATCTATGCGTGTAAGGCATGTTTTGCAAGCACAAGGTGGCTCAACATATTTTGACTCATCAGTGTACTTCAAGAACTTCTTTTGTGTGCAGTGTCCCTTTAGGTTGTGGCCAATCATGGCTCTCCACATTTTCCTATCCTGCGTAGCTCTTTTTAAAGTTTGTTTTTTAAATATATCTCCTAACCTCAGTTCTGACAACCATTTACAAAAGCCTGTCCTTCTTCAATGTGCCATGTCCCTTCAGGTGTAGATGGTCATGGCTCTCCACATTTTCCTATTCTGTGTAGCTCTTTTTAAAGTTTGTTTTTTAAATATATCTCCTAACCTCAGTTCTGACAACCATTTACAAAAGCCTGTCCTTCTTCAATGTGCCATGTCCATTCAGGTGTAGATGGTCATGGCTCTCCACATTTTCCTATCCTTTGTAGCTCTTTTTAAAGTTTGTTTTTTAAATATATCTCCTAACCCCAGTTCTGACAACCATTTACAAAAGCCTGTCCTTCTTCAATGTGCCATGTCCCTTCAGGTGTAGATGGTCATGGCTCTCCACATTTTCCTATTCTGTGTAGCTCTTTTTAAAGTTTGTTTTTAAATGTAACTCCTAACCTCAGTTCTGACAACCATTTACAAAAAGCCTGTCCTTCTTCAATGTGCCATGTCCATTCAGGTGTAGATGGTCATGGCTCTCCACATTTTCCTATTCTGTGTAGCTCTTTTTTAAGTTTGTTTTTAAATATATCTCCTAACCTCAGTTCTGACAACCATTTACAAAAAGCCTGTCCTTCTTCAATGTGCCATGTCCATTCAGGTGTAGATGGTCATGGCTCTCCACATTTTCCTATCCTTTGTAGCTCTTTTTTTAAAGTTTGTTTTTAAATATATCTCCTAACCCCAGTTCTGACAACCATTTACAAAAGCCTGTCCTTCTTCAATGTACCATGTCCCTTCAGGTGTAGATGGTCATGGCTCTCCACATTTTCCTATTCTGTGTAGCTCTTTTTAAAGTTTGTTTTTTAAATGTAACTCCTAACCTCAGTTCTGACAACCATTTACAAAGCCTGTCCTTTTTCAATGTGCCATATCCATTAAGGTGTAAGTGGTCATGGCTCTCCACAATTTCTTATCCTTTATAGCTCTTATTAATGTTTGTTTTTTCAATATTTCATCTAACCTCAGTTCTGACAACCATTTACAAAAGCCTGTCCTTCTTGTATGTACCTTTTCCCTTCAGGATGTGGATGATCATGGCTCTCCACAATTTCCTGTTCTTCATAGCTCATTAAAATTTGCTTTTTCAATATTTCTCCTAACCCTTGTTCTGTCAATCATTTACAGAAGCTCGTCCTACTTCTATATGCCGTGTCCCTTCAGGACGTGGATGATCATGGCTCTCCACAATTTCTTGTCCTTTGTAGCTCTTTGTAGTTTGTCTTTTCCATATTTTTCCTAATCTCACGCTCGTTCTCCTTGCTCCAAAATGTAGGAGAATGTGGAAAATGGACAGTCCTGCTGGGGCTTGTTAGTTTCCTAAGCTTTTTCTTTGGTTGTTCTAACTCAGTGCAAGGCTAACTTGCGCTTGGTTATTATAATGGTGCTTATCCTTACTTACCCTAACTTCTGGAGAAAAAAAAACAAATGGACATGACATAAATATGTTTAAACCTTCCAACAATAAAGTAATTTCAAAATTTTCTTTAGTTGTTGCAAATCTGACTTGATCTCATTCATTAATACAATTTTTATACTTGCTTATACTAACTTTTAGACCCAAAAGAAAACAGATACGTCCAAGAGACATTGATAACTTTGTTTCACTACAGTGACCCTAAAAAAATAAATGTTCCATAGTAGAAACCCGAGTTTTTGTTTCTTCTTTGTTTATTATATGTGAACTCATACCTGCCTAAAATACACACAAACGTGTAACATTTTTAATTTTATAGCATTCTTCTTTAACAGTAAAAAATAGTTCACGTAAATGTAATGTCAAAAGACAGAGAATATGTTTGTAATTTCTCATTTCTATACAACAGAATTCAGGACAGAGTTTGATGTACGTAATAATTGCTGAAGCATTTTAGATCTAGTGATTTTGATGACATATTTAGCTGAAAACTTAGGGGTAAAAATTAGAACTGTCTGTTAATATCTTTCTTTTTTCTTGCTTTTTGGTTTATTGGTTTTTTTTTTTTTTGGTAAATATACTAGTCTATTATATATATGTATATACTTGGGAGTCATAGATTTTACAAGTACATACTTGTCCTAAAAGTTAACTGCCATAGGAAATTGTTTATCATCAGCCTCTGCACAAGGTCAAAGTGTATTAAATGCTTGGCCAATGTGCTGACATGTAAAGCAGCTGTGGGATTTAGAGGACAAATTCCCAGACGCAAAAATGAATATTGACCTATCTATCCCTGTATCTGTATAATTCTGTAGCTTTAAATCTCTTTACATCTATCTATCTATCTATCTATCTATCTATCTATCTATCTATGTGTATCATTATCTGTAGTCATTATCTATCTATCTATCTATCTATCTATCTATCTATCTATCTATGTGTAGTCATTATCTATCTATCTATCTATCTATCTATCTATCTATCTATCTATCTATCTATCTACCTATGTGTAGTCATTATCTATCTATCTATCTATCTATCTATCTATCTATCTATCTATCTATCTTAGTTTTGTCATTATCTATCTATCTATCTATCTATCTATCTATGTGTAGTCATTATCTATCTAAGTTTGGTTATCTATCTATCTATCTATCTATCTATCTATCTATCTATCTATCTATCTATCTATCTTAGTTTTGTCATTATCTATCTATCTATCTATCTATCTATCTATCTATGTGTAGTCATTATCTATCTAAGTTTGGTTATCTATCTATCTATCTATCTATCTATCTATCTATCTATCTATGTGTAGTCATTATCTATCTAAGTTTGGTTATCTATCTATCTATCTATCTATCTATCTATCTATCTATCTATCTATGTGTAGTCATTATCTATCTAAGTTTGGTTATCTATCTATCTATCTATCTATCTATCTATCTATCTATCTATCTTAGTTTTGTCATTATCTATTCATCTATCTATCTATCTATCTATGTGTAGTCATTATCTATCTAAGTTTGGTTATCATTCATCTATCTATCTATCTATCTATCTATCTATCTTAGTTTTGTCATTATCTATCATCTATCTATCTATCTATCTATCTATCTATCTATCTATGTGTAGTCATTATCTATCTAAGTTTGGTTATCTATCTATCTATCTATCTATCTATCTTAGTTTTGTCATTATCTATCTATCTATCTATCTATCTATCTATCTATCTATCTATCTATGTAGTCATTATCTATCTAAGTTTGGTTATCTATCTATCTATCTATCTATCTTAGTTTTGTCATTATCTATCTATCTATCTATCATCTATCTATCTATCTATCTATCTATCTATGTGTAATCATTATCTATCTATCTATCTATCTATCTCAGTTTTGTCTTTATCTATCTGTCTATCTAAGTTTGGTTATCTATCTATCTATCTATCTATCTATCTATCTATCTGAGTTTGGTCATCATCAGACAGAAGTTTATTTTGATAAATCTGTCACTTTTTAACTTGTTGAATATGACTGAATATGGGAAAAATAAAGCAAAATCATGTCAAATGACAGCCAGAATGATGGTCCTGTACAAACAATCCCCTAAGACCGTGTGACTCTAAAACTCACTGACAAAGACTGTTATTATTGATGTTAGTCTTTTTTCTTTAGATTCATTTTTTGTTGGTCCCCAATATAATGCTTGTGAATTGGGGGCGAATGTATCACTAAGTTGTTAAATATTTTCCAAATTCTAGAATCTAAAGAGCTTCAACTTTGTGTTATTGATTTTAATGATGAGGGTTTCTTACTGATTTTAATGATGCAAGCATCTTATTAAATTTAATGATGAGAGCTACTTATTGATTTTAATAAGAGATCTTCATTGATTTTAAGAGTGAGGACTTATTATTAATTTTAATGATGAAAGATCCTGATTGATTGTAATGATGCAAGCTTCTTATTGATTTTAATGATGAGGTCTTCTGACTGATTTTAATGATGAGAGATCTTGATTGATTTTAATGGTGAAGACTTATTAATTTTAATGATGATGCTTCTGATTGATTTTAATGATGATGGCTTATTATTGACTTTAATGATGATAGATGCTGATTGATTTAAATGATGTAATCTTTTAATTTTAATGGTGAGGGTTTTTGACTGATTTTGATGATAAGGGCTTCTGATTGATTTTAATGATGCCAGCTTCTTATTAATTTTAATTACGAGAGACCCTGATTGATTTTAATGATGTGAGCTTCTTATTAATTTTAATTATGAGAGCTTCTTATTGATTTTAATGATGCAAAACCCTGATTGACTTTAATGATTTTTACTTATTAATTTTAATGATGAGAGCTTCTTATTAATTTTAATGATGAATGCTTATTGTTTTTAAGTGCAAGATTCCTTTCTGGGTAGCACTAATATGCTTAATATATTCAAAATCTCAGAATCTTGATTAAAGAGCCTTAGGTTTGTGTTCTACATTTAAAAGATAACATTCTTTTCTGAGGTGATTATATCAATTAGTTTTTAAACACAATCAAAATCCCAATAACATGATTGATATCAAGATTAGTGATATCAACACTACTTAGATGAGTGTTTCTGAGTTTGTTGTTAAGAGCTTTAAAATTTTGTAACCGTTTTTTAAATTTAAAATAATATATGAAATTTATATTATTATCAAGTATACAAGCCTAGCCACATTTGGGAGAATGGTTTAAGCGTTTTTATTCTACGGTATCGAATTACTGTTATGATCTGGCACCAAAAACTAAAACCATGAATAGAGATACTAGCAAATAGACTTTTGTCAACCTTGACATGCAAGGTGTTGAGAATAAAAATGCCAAAAATTTTCTTCAAATGAAAAACTCGAATGTTATTGATAATAAGTTATTTAAATGATTGAATATTTAATTTAAGAATGCAGAATTCAAAAAAAAAAAAGTAAAAATAAAGTTCAGAAGTGGATGAAATAATTTTAAAAGTAAAAATAAAAAAAGGGGATCATGGTTAAGGAAAATAAAAATAAGGGAAGACAAAATAGGTGAAGTTGGGTGACACTTTGGATTAACTTCTGTTTGCAGAAAAGCATTTTTTAATTAATATTCCCATCAATTTTTGGCAACCCTGTTTTTAAATCTAGTAACTGAACTTAGGATTTGTTAATCTACTTTGATTCACTTGACTATAGCAGACATTATTACAGACTCAACATTTCAGCCAATTACCTACTGGCCATCTTCAGGTGTCCATTACTGTTTTGGCTTTTTGAGACGAGTAATTGACAATCTATATTGACTAATTTGATTTATTAGAACTGTTGTTATATACACTATTATAGATACGTTTCGGCCAATTATCCACTGGCCATCTTCAGGTGTCTATTGTTGTTTTTGCTTTTTGAAATGAGGAATAGTTAATCCATTTTGACTGATTTTATTTATTTGAATTGTTGTTTTAGACATTATTACAGGCACAATGTTTCGGCCAATTACCTACTGGCCATCTTCAGGTGTCCATTACTGTTTTGAGTTTTTGAGACAAGTAATTGACAATCTATATTGACTAATTTGATTTATTAGGACTTTTGTTATATACACTATTATAGATACGTTTCGGCCAATTATCCAATGACCATCTTCAAGTGTCCATTGTTGTTTTTGCTTTTTGAGATGAGGAATTGTGAATCCACTTTGACTGATTCAATTTATTTGAACTGTAATTCCCATCTTGCTTATTGTTGATATTATTACAAACACAGTGTTTCGACCAATTATATACTGGCCATCATCAGGTGTTCAGTATTGTTTTTGATTTTTTGAGATGAGAAATTATCAATCTACTTTGATTCATTTTATTAGAGCAACTGTTCTTATTTTGACTATTGTAGACATTATTACAGACACGATGCTTCAATCAATTCCCCCCAGGCTATCTTCAGGTGTTCATTATTTTTTTTGATTTTTGAGATAGGGAATTGTCAATCTACTTTGACGGATTCAATTTTTTGAACTTTTGTTCTCATCTTTGATTGTTTTCAATGTTATTACAGACAAAACATTTCGACCAATTTTCTCCAGGCCATCATCAGGTGTTTATTATTGTTTTTTTATTTTACAAGAGGAGTCACTGTCAATATATTTGACTTATAGGATTTTTTGAAACCATCATTTTCATCTTGATTATTATAGATGTTATTACAGACGAAACATTTTGACTAATTACTCTCTGGCCATCTTCATGTGTCTATTATTATTTTTCATGTTAGAGATGTGGATATGTCAATATAATTTGATTTATTCAATTTATTCAAATGATTTTTCTAGTCTTTCATTTTATTGATGCTACAGACACAATGTTTCGACTAAGTACCATGTGACCATCTTCAGATGTTATTATAGATGCAGTACTTTTGTCAAGATGATAATGGTAAATCACTACTGTGAACTAGTCTCAAAAGTAAAAATAACAAGATTGTGAATATTCTTCTGATAGGGTATAAAAATTCAATGTAAAAATCTACAATTCTTAGTTAATTAAATTTAGGAATTTCTCTTATTTAATATCAGTTTAAGAATGTGATGTTAATATAAGAAATAAGTTTAGAAAACTACTTCTGCAATATGGATTAATCCAAAGATTGACCAATATTTTAAATAAGATTCAGAAAAAGGTAAGGATTTGAAGGCAAAAATGGGTTTGAAAATTTGAAGGATTCCTTAAAAATGGAAATAAAAAAGAAATATGGAATTTTGTTTGTTTAAAATGAAAAGAACAAAACAAAACAATCCATAAATGTTCCCTGAAAGAAGCGGAATGGTTTGCAAATTTAGGACATAAATGAAAATATAAACCTTAGAGATGTCTTTGACGCTTTGGGAATGGTTGGGTAATATCTCTGAAACCTGGAAAAAATAGCACCAAATTTCTTAAACTTGAGAAGACACAATAAATATGAAGAAAACAAATGAAGCCTTTCTTGAGTAAAGCAATATTCAGTTATTGTTCAGAGCTGGGTTTCATAATTACTCATCTTATGCAAAGTTCTAATGAGTGAGAAATTTATGAATATATATATATATATATATATATATATATATATATATATATATATATATATATATATATATATATAAACGGAAGATGTTATAGTAGTTCCAACAAGAGAAAAGTGTGTATATTAAAAAGAAGAGAGATACTGCAAACGTTTTTGGGAGTAATGTGGATTTTTTTTAAATATTATGCTTTATTTTCCATAATTTTACTACACAAGTTTCTGGTCTCACGACCATCATCAGGCAAAGGGCGGAGATTTCCACATATTATTAAAAATAATTAATTTTTTTTCTGCTAACACAGAATATCAAGAATATTTAACATTGAAAAACATAAAGGAGAAAAAAAAATTAATTATTTAAAAAATCTACATTGCAACCAAAAATAGTTGCAGTATCTCTCTTCTTTTTAATGTACACACTTTTCTCTCATTGGAACTACTATAACATCTTCCTTTTATATATATATATATATATATATATATATATATATATAAATTTCTCACTCATCAGAACTTTGGATAAGATGAAACCTGTATCTGAACAATGCCTGAATATTGCTTTATTTAAGAAAGGCTTCATTTGTTTTCCTGTCAAGAGTGATTCTTGATAATGACTGTAATAGTTGAAAGTACTTGAATAAACCCAGAAATATTCTCTAAAAGAAGCAGAATGGTTTGCAAATTTAGGACATAAATGAAAATTTAAACCTTAGCGATGTCTTTGACACTTTGAGAATGGTTGATATCTCTGAAAATTTGAAAAAATAGCACCAAATTTCTTGAACTTGAGAAGACACAACAAATATGAAGAAAACAAATGAAGCCTTTCTTGAGTAAAGCAATATTCAGTCTTTGTTCAGAAACAGGTTTCATAATTAGGATATTATATATATATTACTTTTAACTATCAGTCTTGATAGTAAAAGTATTAAAATTAGAAATTTTTTTTTGATATCTAAACACTTAAGTCATCACCTAACGTTAAACATTAACTGTGAAATTTAAGGAAAACTCTAAATAGATATAAATATGTGTAAATATTTGTAAATGTATGTGTAAGTATTTATATATGAATATGCATAGGTACCTGTGTATATCAATATATATGTGTGTGCCTATACATAAGTGTATATGTGGTATATATATATATATGGAAAAACAAAATTTTTTTTAATATTACCTTCAAATTTTACTCAGTCTTAATTTGAAACCTAAACTTTAAGTAAGAAAAATTACCCATCTAAAAATAGTTACAAATTATATTCATGAATTAGACTGAAACTGATAAAGATGTTACTTTAACAGTCATTTACAATATTAAAAGATTACTATCAGTAAACTTTTATATTTTAAATATTTTTTTAATGTGTTTTTTATTAATATGTTTATAAATATAGTATTTAACTCATATTAAATGCCTAAATTATTTGTAAAAGAGTTAAATA